AAAATAAAATTAAAAAAAAATTGTGAAAAATATATATATATATTAATAATACTGTATTGTGTTTGCTGTACATTGACCGAGATAAACTTCCTCACTATCTTTCAACGTTGTTAGAGTACAGACATCTTGACGTCCTATTTTCCTTAAATAAATTTGTGCACTACACCTGCAAGACTCCGCCTTAAAGTCCTTCACCTGTCCTAGCATCTCTCATTAAAGAACTGTTAACCAAACACTTCCAACCCTGTACAGGTGATTAAACATCGTATCCAACAATATAAAAAAATAAAATATATTATAAATTTTATATTTATTACTATCTGAAGCTTACATTTTATTTATTTTTAGTGAAAAAAGAATCAGGTTTCAGCAGATCAACGAATCTGTACAAGTTTCTCAATTCTGTTTTAAGGTTTCTTTTGTTATTTTTTTTTGATAAATTAGAAAAAAATGAACTTCTTTTTTAAGAAGAAAATCTGAAATTTTGATTTTAGAAAGAATTTCAAGCGTGAAAAGGCGATAAAGGTGATTTTTTTTACTAGTTTCTATACAATACTCTTCGACTCTATGGGCTTTCTCAATGGTCAGTCATTGAAAGAACCGTGTTTATTGCTGTTGTAGATAATAATTATGAAGAAAACTGATAAATATTTAGTTATATACAAATATTTATAAATTTAATAACGTTTTTTTAGCTTTATAAACATAATAATAAATTCAAAATTACACCATGTTTCAGGTGAATGTAATTTCGAGATTGAGAAGCTTGATATTTAAGTCGAAAGGAGACAAAATAATCTTTACAGTATATTAATTAGCGTATTATTAAATTATTCAGTCATCTTATTAATTACATAACTTCACCTAATTCTAATTAAGGTAAAGAGATCCAACGATACAATACTTTTTTTTATTTTTATTTTTATAATATACCCTATAAAGATATACTTGATTAATATATTCTAGATATATAACCCTTAAGTAAATTACATTATACAAATTGAAGTCATTAACTTTAAAACTGTTTAATATGATTTATAAATTTAATTTTTTATTAAAAATCTTATGTAAAAAGATTATGAAATTTCCTTTATTTTAAAATGCTTAAAATTTTATATTCTTGCAGGCTTCTGTGATTAAATTTAATGTTAAAACATGGAGATATTTTTAATTATAATTATAAATAAATAAATAAATAAATAAAATTAACATCTGTAGAATGTTATTTAGAGTTTTTTTAATGATTTATAATTAAATAAATTTAAGAAAATTCAAAAAGTAAAGTCACGTAATCGCCCCAACAGTATCAAATGTCATCAGCTAAGCATAAGTAGCGATGCATTAAGCTTACAACTGCTGAATATTTAGTTTAAAAAATATATATATCTAATAAATTTCTATTCCTATTAAAATACTTATAAAAATTAAAATTTTATGCAAAATATTTTTTATTTTTTCATGCAGAGGGGTTATAATTTTTATGCTTTAACACCCTTCTACTATATGAAAAAAAATTAGCTGAAAAGTATGCAAATTATGCATATAACATTTATAAATATATAATTTCTAATAGAATATTGATCGTATTTTTTAAGTTTTATCTTCCTGAAAAATAAGTTTAAATTTAATCCATGTCAAATTGTAAATTCGAGGTGATCGCCCTCATAGCTTCCATATAAAATCACTACTTTTTAACATAAATTAGCTGAAAAGTATGCAAATTATGCATATAACATTTATAAATATATAATTTCTAATAGAATATTGATCGTATTTTTTAAGTTTTATCTTCCTGAAAAATAAGTTTAAATTTAATCCATGTCAAATTGTAAATTCGAGGTGATCGCCCTCATAGCTTCCATATAAAATCACTACTTTTTAACATAAATTACGATAGAAAAATAAGTTATATTGTAGTATAAATATATATATTTATATAGATAATTGCATAAATATTACAGTTATGAATACTGTATTGTTATAAAAGAGAGCAGTAAAAAGGTTTTTTTTTTATTTTTTTTTGAATTTAGAATAGAAAAAAGAAGTTTCCTTTATCATCAGCGTGTAACCAGAGACCTCATAATAGAAGCAATCCAGCTGAAATCATCTACCAATGAGAGTTCATAGGATAGATGGCGCTCACGTCAACCCGGAAAAGGTGGAATTAGGTCATATCCGGAACAACAGGCGAACTTGTATATGAGGAGGTTAAAAACTATATAGAAGAAGAGTATCGCATCAGAAGTTCATTCGACCAGAAGCGGGGTTGTAATGATTTGATATTAGAAAATGTTTCTCACCACGTTTCCTAGAGCTTGCCTGTGTTTAAACACCGTGGACACCACCTTACGTCACTGCCAGCTGACCGGTTCCAAAAGGTCAAGCAAGAAGAGCGAGGTCGTAGATTCGTCCAGAGGTCAGGAGGTCAATCAGGCGGAGCGTGAAAAAGACAACGAAATTTGGCAGAAAAGGTCGAACAAATCTACTGTACGAAGGTTGAAGTTTGTAAAATGGTAAGATATGAAATTATTTCTGCCCTTTTTTCTTTAATTAATAATAATTAATTTAGGATTATTTACTAAATTTGTTNATCATATATAATAAATATATCTAGTTTAATGTATTCTACAACGTGTAAATATGTTATAATAAAATAATAATATAATTCTTTAATTATTCAGATGTGGTTCCTGTGTTTTCTTCTCACATTTTCGGGATTGAACTGTGACCCTCATTCTGAATTAGTGGCTGATATATATCATAATGCTCCACCGATCATCAAAGCAGCTTTAATTAATGTCGGTCTCGCCCCTCGTAAAGACACCGTGACTTCTGTAGTAATGAAACAACTTCCTTCACCTCCCATACGACTTTCTTCACCTTTAACCCTGTCGAATTTTCGTAAATCGCATCGTTATACTCATAGAAATCTTCGCCCTCACACGTTTCCTAAAGTGTTTATGGGTTCGACTCGTGTACCACCTCAAAGGGTGCAACAGTTGCCACCTCTCTCCCTTCCTCAATTGCCAACCACTTCTTATCCTAGAAGACGTAAACACCCACGCACTACATACGCATCCAAGTATTATCGAGATAATTTTAAACCTTTAACAAGTTCTCCTGAAATGAAAAATGCTCTGGCAATTCAAGAAACATCTATAGAAAATTTAGTTGTGAGTTTTCGTAATGTCCATTGCAAAGGGGAGAAGAATTGGTGCGAGTTGGATGCCACGTATCCCGAGTAAGTTAGCGATTTTATAACGTTTTTACAGCTTATTTCTTTAAAAATTTATATAACTTTTTTATATTTTAAAGTGTTTAGAATCGTACAAAACTTATTAATAAGTCATACTACAAGTCCTTGAATTTCAACTGGAAGCATTTTAAGAAAACTTGCTAAAATTTCGTTTAATTTACTTTAAAATTAAAATTAATCGTTAAATATTTATCATTTTTTTATACATTTTATACATTAATATTATATTTTAACTATAATTTTAATGCGTTTTTATGATAAGAATTATCATTAATTCCTGGCTTAAAAAATAATAAATTTCTCTGTTAAATAACATTTTAAATTATTTCTAATTTATAAAAATATTTTTAATTATATAAAATTAAATTTATATACTATTTTCTTATATAAAATACAACGGTATAAAGATAATTACAAAATTTCCAGCAATAAAATGATTTTTTCTCTTCGTATTTTAATTTTCTACAGCAGAAATTTCAATATATATATATATATATATACACACACACACAATGCTTTGTATTGTATAACGAATAGTGTATTATTACGTAACAATAGTTTTTTTTAATTCCTTTCTTACGAAATTTAAATTTTTAAATTTTAAATTTTGTAAATTAATCCGTTACACGTTACATGTGCATTGTCATAACAACAGTTGTCATGACGATATCAAGCTATGTTGTCATAACAACCAACGGTCAATGAACTTTACTTAGTACAGAATTTAGCCGTTAAGAGGCGCTTCGAGAAATAAAAATATTTGTTTTTCAATTAGGCTAGGAAGGAAATTATATAACCCACTAACATATAGATATATGAAAATAGAATAATGAAATAAATTAGCCTTTTTAAACATGCCCGTGACTTGTTCAGCCCAATTTTATATGGGATATTATTAATTTTTCTCCAGGTGCATTCAAATGATATCTAAACACGTGTGACCTTCATTAATGATCGTTTTAGTTTTTGAAGGACGTAGTCTAGGTCAAGTAAGTTACTCGAGGCGATCGTCCCGGTTATGTATGGTTTATTATCTTTTTTTTTTCTTTATTTTTTGGTCGTAGACTATGTCACGATTAATGTTTATAAATAAATTATATTTTAACCAATCAAAAAGGTATAAAATGTAGCAGACATTTCATTTTTTTTAAAAATAAAGATTATTTTGATTTTTATAAAAAATTGACACTCGTTAATAACACGTCATTAACCTCTTTGTTATGTTATTTATCTGGCTTTAGAAGTGTAGACTGTCGCGTCGTATCGCGCTTGATTGTAAGTTTACTAAAATAAAGCGTTGTTAAAACTAGTTTTTAATGTATTTTACTGGTGAATGATAAAGTGCTTAAACTTTTCTATAGTTGTAATAAGAATTGCAAATCGAATGTGAGGGTTATCTTCAGCCTACAATTCGTTGCCCGACGCGATTTCGTGCGCGACGAATGCAATCGCCTTCGTTATCTCTGTTACAAGTTATAAACTTTATCTTTAATGCTGAGTGCTTAATTTATTTATCCTTTCTTTTAAAATGTATAAAATTTTAAGATAATTTATATATTTCTTTAGCGGATTTAATAAAAAACAAGGTAATTCATACACAAAGCGACCGCGACGTGATCACCGCTAGTAAATAGAACACAAAAACAAATATCGAAATATTACGGCATAAATTTCTGAAATATTAGAAATTACTAAAAAAATTTTGTAATAGTAATTATTATTATTATTATTAATTTTATGAAAATATTAACATCTGTATTTCATTGTCGCAATCGCTTTGTATTCCTTTGTAGACATTTTTAACAGTATTTATTTCCAATTTTTATTTTNTCGAAATATTACGGCATAAATTTCTGAAATATTAGAAATTAGTAAAAAAAATTTTGTAATAGTAATTATTATTATTATTATTAATTTTATGAAAATATTAACATCTGTATTTCATTGTCGCAATCGCTTTGTATTCCTTTGTAGATGTATAGCGATTTTACGCTTGAAATACTCATATTTTAAATATATTTTTTTCGATTAAAATTAAAGTTAACTTTATATTTTCTTAGATTAACTATGAAATAATTCTATTTTTTTTTTTTTTTACAGAGAGGATGTTGGAAAAATCGTTAAACTTTGCGAATCGTATTTGGACAAGATGTATGCTCCAATGCCATTAATCGTACCGACATCTTTCGATACGAAAAGAAAAGAAGATAATTTCTCATCTATAGATTTAAATTCTCGATTATCTGGACAGAATTACTGGAAAAGTTCGTTATGTCACGCCGAAAAACGATATTTTCGTCCCAGTTACGCTCGTGATATTAATGGACGTTGGCAGATTGTACTTCAATCATCGAAATATCCGCAGAGGATATCTTTAGAACTGTGCAAGTAAGGACCTCACCTAATGGTGATTTATTATAATAAATTGATGATTTAGCCAGGTTAAATCGCTCTAACCTATTTTGCTAGCGTGGCACTCCCTTTTTAATTCCTAGATATCATGAGCTTATCATTACTTTCAAGATGCCCGTTGAAGAAATTGAAATTTCTAAAAAATTTAAACAAATTAAATGGTTAAAATGTATAAAAACAATTAAGTATGATTTTATGATACACTTTCTTCAAGTAACCTTTAAATATTTTTTTTTTTTAAATTGATTTTTGTGTGGGCAAAAGTAGAAAAATCCCAGAAGAATTTAAATGGCGTATTGAAGAAAAAAAAAAAAAAAAAGTTTTATCTTTCGTAAAGAGGTCAGGAATAAAAAAATAATAATAATACTTTGTGCCAAACTGTTACGTCGAACAGAAGAAGGTTGTGTCACGTTTCGACACAAATCGTGACATAACATCGTGTCCACAGATGTCGATGACAACTACGACGTCACTCTGACATGTTTTGGGATTTTTCTACAGAAATACCTGTTGCAATTATGTAAACAATGAAATATAAAATAGAAAATAAGCAAGGAAAACATGTAAAAAATTTAAATTAAAATACTGTACATAACATCAGAAAAGAAAAATTTAACCTTATTTATATTATACTATTTATAGACGAATTGTTATTGATTTATGAACGTTTTACATTAACTCTTAACATGTTTTAGCACTTAAATTTTTTTTTTTTGCTGTAAGTTATAATTTAATAAATGCAAATATAATATCGATATGTGTTTAATTTTAGATTAACTTTTGGTTTTTTTTAATTTTTTTCTTGCAGGAACGAAGGTAATAGGTGCAACAAAATGGCCGACTGTATTATTAATTCACGATGCGTGCAAAAGTATAGTTATCAGATGTTGGTCAGTATAGATCCTAAGAAGCCAAATACATGCCCTTCTATGAGATTATACAGTTTCCCTACTGCTTGCGTTTGTTTAACAGACAATACTGTATCTAATCTATGATGCTGCAATACTCTAAGAAGAGATTATCGCCTACATTTTTTAAATAAATTTATAAAATTAAGCAATTTTTTTCATTNTCGGTGGTTTTTGACCACTCGATCACTGGTAAGTTAGCATTGAAATTCTATTGATCCAATAAAAAATTAATTCAGTTCTTATTACTGTATATTATTCTTTCAACCTCAAGTAAATATTCAAAATATTATTATTCTAACATTGAAAAAATATAGTCGAGAAAGCCCTTTGTTATCTCTATACTAAGTAAAAATCCAGCAACGAGTTGCATAACTTTCCTGGCAAAAAAAAAAAAAACTTAATTGCGTGTGGCTCCATCTGTTATGATATTTTATTTAAAAACTTTTTATATTATTAATAATTATAAAATGGCTAAAATGGCTTAATTTTGAAGCTAGACATGAATTTTATTAAAAATTCTAAATGCTAATAACGAGTAAAATCTTCATTAAGTCCGAACCTATTCGAGATATGACACACGATCCCCCCTTTATCTCGCCACCCACTCGACCTTTAACCACCAAAATTTAATACAATCAATCCTCTTAATACATAAATTTCTCTGCAGAATTTCAGAAATTTTCGATGAAAGGTACAGGAGTTATTAAGCTTTAAAATGGTAAACAAAATTGTGCCCCCACACACTAAAATCCATATATATAGGCTTACTTTTTTGTATTTCTCGAGGTTTCAAGGTCCCCTGACAGCTCCAAATGAAAAATTTTAACTTCATTCTTTTTAAAAGGCATTATTTTTATTATAGAATAAAACGAAATGATGCTGGCGGAGTTTAATTTACGAGCTCCATTTATGTTTACTGTGTACAAGGGGTGGCTGATAAAATATTAAACACTTGTGGGTCTTGTTTAAATTAGCGTTATATCCGATTTTACTGCAGCAGTTAGTCCTTAAAAGCTACAATTTTTCATTCTAGAATGCATTATGAGACGACTACTTTATAACTGTTACGAGTAGTAAGTGACGTTTACGTAACGCGTGACGTTTTTATTCACGCAACAATTAATTTTTGTACGCTGAATATGTAATTAAAATATGCTATTCTTTTAAAAATATTGTTAATTGTATACTTAAAATCGAATTAAATATATGCGACTATGTGATATAGGCTGATGAAGTTACGCTAGAAATTTTCTTAAATTAAGAAATCTATGGGAAGAAGTAGACTTTTTTTATATTTTTATTGGAAAAAATAAAAAATTGTGTGTGTTTTTAATGATAAATATTAATAATTTTTACCATAGAAATTACAACTTTTGTTTCATTAAAATTATATAAAAGATTCATATTTTTTCTATTCTAGTTTCCCGTATGTTATATAACAGAGGTAAAACATGGCGATTGATCAAAAAATGACTCCAAGATTTTTATATTTTCGGATTCAGGATGCTTGAAACGTCAAGGAATGCAAAAAATTTGGGGATTTTTTCTGTATGTTAGTATGTGGAGGGCACGATTTTGCTCGCCCACTTTGAAGCTTAATAACTCACGTATGTATCATCACAAATTTATGAAATTTTGCAGGGAGATTTGTGTATTAGGAAGAAATGCTTATAGAAATTTTCAGGAAGATCGGACTATTAGTTCGGGAGATATGACCCCACCTCCTTAATATCTCCCGAACCAATCTGAAGACTTTAAAGGTAATGGTAGCAATTATTAGGGATGAAAACATAAAAATAACCGGTTAACTCCAGCAACAATGTTGAAAGCTTTTTTTAAAACGGAATTTATATTTAAATTTTTAATATAAATGGGGTTTTACTCCTGTTATAAGGGGTAAAACAATATTGAAAATTTGTAAGAATGTTTGACAATTTCTTTTAATCAACAGGAATTTTCCTTTAATTAATTAATTAATTAATTAATATCCACAATTTAGTCTCATTTGTGCACAGACTTTCTCCATATCAAATGTAACCCCTCATACATATCATTATCATCATTTTCTATTACAGTAGAACCTCGATTATCCGGACCGTTCAAAGTAAACAAAACTTTTACGAATTTGCTGATTTGCACTTGGCAAATTACGATACTGTTTATGTGATGGAATGCGTAATTTTTTTTGTTTCAACTACGTCTCACCCGGCACAGTGGCCGTAAACTCTTAAATATATTTTGCGTCGTAATAAAAATATAACTTGACATACGTATTTATAAATAATTTATTTCCAAATTATATCATTTTTATGACCAAGGGCGGCATAAGGCATGGGCCACCGCCTATGCCTCGCGGTCCGAAGGGCCTCGCGTTTCGAAGGTTTATGCATTACTTAAAAGCTGCGAACGCGACGAAAAAATTTTACTCGTCATAAAACGATAAATAGTTTGTCAAATTTTTATTCATAAAAATGCAGTTTCGAATGCTTTTTATTTTATAAAATCCGTCTTCTTGCGCTACCAGAGGGCCTTTTAATTAAAACAATAGGTAGTCTGTTAGCGTTGGTCAGTAATAGTCCAAATTCAATACGAACGTTTGTTTCTTAAAAATTAGATTACGGTTTAAATACAGTATTTACTTTTAATATTACTGATATGTCATCGAAAACAAAACGTGTTGTATTATCATTAAAAGACAAATTAAAGTATTTGTTTCGATTATCCGAATTTTCCCCTTATCCGGACTACCTTCATCCCCAATTAGTCCGGATAATCGAGATTCTACTGTATATAATATATTAAAACCAATGATGAAATGGAGAATCATAGGTGTTTAATGAACTGTCACTTGGTAATTTTATAATAAAATTTTTATGGGTGACCCAAAAAGTCAATTAATTCGAAGCTTACGCTTTAAAACGCCTGCCGGTTAACTAACTTTTGGGCCACCCTTTACGAAATTACGTGTTTATTCAATACACATCTCTTACACTAGGTATGTAAATAAATATAATGTCTTTTTTTAAGAAAAAATTAGTTTTTTTTTAAATTTGAAATTCATTAATTAATACTTTTCTTTTAAAAAAAAAATAGTAATAACTGAAGTTATTTACATGCAAATTTTCTTTTATTTTAAATGATTCTAATTAGATATTCATTAATGGATATCGAAGGCTCAACTTAAATTCTAATTTAAATTAATTGGAAATTGTTTAAGTAATTTCTTAGATACATTTTCCTTTCATAAAAAAATCTTAATTTATATATATTTTTTAAATTTTTAAAAGCCTCATTAAAATTTAATAAATAAATTTATAAAATATATATAGGCCTATATAATT